CCCCCCCGCCCCGAGTACACGCCACTAATTCAACCTTTATTCCAGACTCTTATGATAACCATAATACCCTATATCACTTTTAAACTTGTATTTATGTAGCTAGCTGCTTTTGCATGCACTGTCTACATTATTTATAAGCAGATTTATAACAAGAAGAGTTTCTTTTTGAACAATACTTATGTTTCTTTGCAGAATTAAGGGAATTATAGTAATTGTAATCTAAAAGAATGTGAGAGAAACAAATTGTTAAAATTATTATGTTTTTGTTGTTTAGTGCTATCAAGTTGAGTGCGACTTATAGCAACCCTATGAACTAAAGATCTGAACCTTGTTTTATACTGCACCATCCTGACACACAAGAGCCCACTGCAGCTGTTACCATATCATTCCACCTGGTTGAAGGTCTTCCTCTCCTTTGCTGACCCTTCTCCCTTCCCAGCATCATGTCCTTCTCCAAGGATTAACACTTTCTGGCAACATGTCCAAAGTATGTGAGGTGAAGCCTCATCATTTTTGCCTCTGAAGAGCACTCCAGCTGCACCCTCCCCAACACATATCTGTTTGTTCTCTTGGCCATCCATGGGATGTTCAGTGCTCTTCTCCAACACCCCAGCTCAAAGGCATCCCAATATAATAGAATCCAATGGTGCCTATGTGTTTGCATATCTTTAAATATTATGAGGAAAAATGTCTAATGATTCAAATGAGTGTATTCTTATGTAGAAGAAGTGGTATTTTTGAATACCCATTGTAAAAGTCTGCAAATGATGAGATATGATTAACTATGGTGGCAGTCCTGGGAAAAGTGAAACTAATTCCTTGGAGGCAAGGATTTTGGAGCTCTCTCTCACATATTTTGGGCTAGTAACCAGGATGGATCACTTCTCGGAGAGGGACATCACGATTTGAATGATGGAGGGACAGCAGAGGAGAGGGAGACCCTGGATTAAATGGATTGACATAGTAACTGGGGTAATAGGGGTCAGTGTGTTGGAGACAGTGAGATTGGTTCAGGATAGGTCAGGATTCAGAGCTATTGTGTATAGTATCATCATGAGTTGCAGTCAATCTGATGACACATTAACAATAACAACATAGTGACATAGTATATAGAAAGCTCCACTGTTAGCCAATATGTCCTGCTGGTTCAAATCCACCAGCTGTTGCATTGGAAAAAGGGGAACACTCTCCTCTGAAGTGATTTATAGGTTTTGACCCACTGGCTGGTGATTCAGTTATAAGCCAATTCCAACTGAACAGCAATGACTGACTGATTTACTTTTGTTCCTCATGTGCATAAAATGGAACCAGTAAAACTTACTTCAATGGATATGTTGGAGAAAATGTAAAAATGTAATTAACATTTAAAGCTTGGGTCCAACATTTGGCACAGTTTCTCCTTTTATTAACAAAGTATTTTGTAGATGCCTTTCATTTTATTGTAGTTATATTTTAATGTGACAATTTTGTTTTAGAAGTGCAGGATTTCATCAGTTATATCTTTCAGCCAATATACTTATTAACTGATATGTTTTGCTCTCAAGGACCTTGCTCAACTGCTAAAGAGCAATGATGCCAGTTTAAAGACCAAAGTGCACCTGATTTAACCCATGGTCTTCTTATTTGCTTGCTGTTTATCTGAGAGCTGGACAATGAATAAAGATGACAGAAAAGGAATTGATGCCCTTGAATTATGGTTTTGGAGAAGAATATTGAAGATACTATGGACTGCCAAGAGAACAAACAGGTCAACCCTAGAGAGGGTTAAATAAGTTTGCTCCTCAGAAGCAAGGATTCTAAATCTCTGTCTCACATACTTTGGGTATGTTTCCAGTAGGGAACAGTCCTTGGAGGATATGATGTTTGGAAGGGTAGAGGGCCAACAAAGCAAAGGAAGACCCTGGATGAGATAGATTGACATGATGGCTGGGGCAATGGGATCAAGTGTGCCAGAGATGGTGAAGTTGGCTCAAGATAGGGCAAAGATCAAAGCCCTTGTTCATAGGGTCGCTATGAGTCATATTTGACTCAATTCCACATAATGACAACAGCATTTGTTGGTGTAATATTACAAATTAGTTGCCAAAGATACAATGAAAAAGATATCAAAAAGGTCTGGGGGTTTTTCTAGATAAAATGTGCTAAAGAGCCAATGTGATATCATTAACATGTGGTAATATTTGAGATTAGAGGTCTGTGACTTAGTAGAAAGGATCTGCACTGCAACCTAAAGGCAAAAGGCAGGATTTCAAAGCCACCAGCTAGTCTGTGGGAGAGATAGATGTCTCTGGAAACTCTCTGGAGGGTCAGCGATCAGTTAAGTACATAGAAAGGACAAAGGTACAGAGAAACAACAAGGACAATTATCTATACACATGGACAATTTTTTCCACTTACAAACAAAAGAATAATTCATTATCAACTGTGTGACTATGTACCTGTCAAGAGCTTAGAAATAAATTATTACAGTACCTTGTCAAAATAATGTATCATTAATTAAAGAAGAATAAAGTTATTTTTGAGTTACATTGAGAGACAAAAAAATTTATAAATTTGCAATAGTTCTTAAAGGAATTGTTTGTTACGTTTAAGGTAAGTCTTGCGTTTTTTAAAATTTTTTTTTTATGTTTTAATGAAAGTTTATACAAAACTTGGGTTTCCTTTCATTCATTGTTACACATTTTTCTCCCTGACTCCAGGCCCCGAGTTTTCTTTTCTCTTGGAAAAAAATTATTTTATGGTTGTGCAACTCCCCCCACCATCCCCAATCCACTCTACTATGCAGCTCTTATTCTGGTCTGTTGTCATTCAAATAATACCTAATCATAGATTCCTTTTAAGCAGGTCTTTTCCTCATCTGTTTCAATTCAGTGTACATTACTTATCCTTACTAAAGCTTGGACTCATATAAAAGCTGTTACAGTTTGCAAAAATGTATTGAAGAGCATTGGGGATATATATATATATATACACACACACACACACACACACACACATACATATATAGTTGCAAATGAGACTGGATAACAGGTAGCAGCTAAAAAATTTCTAAAATAAGTTAATAATTCAGATTTTGTCCTCTAGACAATTGGTAATGACTTAGTAACTTAAACACAAATGCATAAAGAGGAAAAGCTGCAAAAGAAAAAAATCTTTAAATATTCTCTATGTACCACTGTACATAATAGATTAAACTGAGACAATAATTAAAAATACCAATGTCCTCTTCTGATTCCTCTGCTACTGTAACCTGAAATGATGCTATATTTATTGGACAGAAACAAACATAAAATGTAATCAATTAGGGTATCTTTTTGCATTGAGATTATATTTGATTACTTCAGTGTATTTCCCCTGCCCTTGAATGCCTTGTGCAAAGCTGATCTTATCTGTTTGGTTTTTAAGCTATACACTAATGGATTAAGAACAGGAGTTAAGAAGAGGAAGAGGTTTGCCATGGTTACATGAAGAAGGGGAGATGTGAATTTACCAAATCTATGGATTAAGGCCAGTACGATGAGTGGTACATAAAAGATGAAGACAGTAAAGATATGGGAAACACAAGTATTGAGTGCCTTGATCTGACCATCTTTTGAGGCAATACCCAACACTGTTTTTAAAATCAGGGTATATGAAATGATAATGAATATTGAGTCAACTCCAAAAGAGCAGAGAACAAGGCACAACCCATAGATTATATTGACTCTGACAGGACCACAAGCCAATTTCATAATATCAGGATGGTAGCAATAACAATGAGATAGAATGATACCCTTGCAGAAAGGCAATCTCTTGAGTAGGATTGGCAATGGAGCCATTAACATCACTCCCCTAACCACAGCCACAAGTCCCATTCCAGTAATCCTGGACTGGGTTAATATCACAGTATAGTGCAGTGGGTTTCGGATAGCCACAAAACGGTCAAAAGCCATAGCCAACAAGATGGCTGATTCCATGGAGGAAAAAGTATGGATGAAGAACATCTGTGTCAGGCAACAGTGGAATTCAATCTCTCTGTGATTCAGGAGGAAAACGTTAAGTACTGTGGGCAGAGTTGATAAAGACAGGCCAATATCTGTGGCTGCCAGCATAGAAAGAAAGATATACTGAGGCTCATGAAGACTGGGTGTGATTTTGATAACAAAGAGTATGATGCAGTTCCCTAGCACAGCAATTAAGTACATGATACCCAGTGGAATAGAGATCCAGATTTGTACAGTTTCGAGACCAGGGATGCCTGTTAGAAGGAGAATGGGAGGCTGAAACCAGCTACTGTTTATAAGCCCCATGAAGATATTTCTTGGGGTCCTGCCCAAGTCAGTTTCAGGATGTTCCTATTGGAAGAAAAGCATCATAGATTTTGAGATAGGAATAGATAACATATATAACTCATCTTAGGCAACACTAACACAAAGCATCTTTATAATGAGGACTTGTTAGTTATAAGGTCTCCATATCTCTTTATTAGGTGTCATAAGACGAAAACTGTTACTAAATGTAAAAGCTACTGACAATCCCCAGGCCTAGAACATTCACTGATCATTGGGACCGTAATTGGGAATGTAATTGGGAACATAGCTTCCTTTTTTATTTTTAATCCAGGAAATTAAAAGGCGCATTGCCATGGGAAAGTCTGCTGTTAGGGACCTCTCCAAAGTGCCGAAGAGCAATGGTATCTCTTTGGAGACTAAGGTGCGTCTGATACAGGCCATGGTCTTCGCAATCACCTGTTATGCATCAGAGAGTTGGACAATGACCAAGGAGGATAGAAGGAGAATTGATGCCTTTGAGCTGTGGTGCTGGAGAAGAGTATTGAGAATACCATGCACTGCTAGGAAAACAAACAGATTTGTCCTGGAAAGGGTTAAACCGGGTGGTTCCTTGGAGGCAAGGATTCTGAGGCTCCATCTAACTTACTTTTCACATGTAGTGAGGAGAGAGACCGGTCCTTAGAGAGGGACATCATGCTTGGGAGGGTAGAAGGACGGCGCAGGAGAGGAAGGCCCTCTATGAGGTGGATTGATTCAGTGACTGGGATAATTGGGATGGGAGTGTCAAAGACAGTGCGATTGGCACAGGACAGAGAGGAGTTTAGGGCTGTTGTACATAGGGTCGCTATGAGTCGCAGGCGACTCGACGGCACATAACAACAACAACAACGGAAAAATTGTTCTCAGACTTTCTTAATAACTTACTTTATCAAATTATGTTAGATTCTATAGAATTTATCTAACTATGCTTAAATTTATATCTGTATTCAGTCAGTATTGATGAAAAATCTAAAAGAAGATATTAGATTTTCTTCTATATAAACTTCAAAGCTATCATCAGGCACCTGAAAGCATGTGCCTATTTCACCTTCAGAAATAATGCAAAACATTTCAATAACCCACAAGTTGGTATAATATGTAAAATTTAACATTTTTTCTTCTAAACTGCTGATAGTTTCTTTTTTTTTGTAGAAAGTGATGAAAAGGAAAGTGAATATTGTCATTACTTCTTGATTTAGAATCATCTCAAGCAGCATTAAATAATCTTTTGAAAAGAAATGTGCTTTGTAGATAAAAATTTAAAACCTAAATACTCTGGACCATAGTAAATATCTTTAAGCTAGCGTTATTAGAAGAAGACACAGTAGTACATGTGCTTTTATTTATGTAAAATAGAAGAAGATAGATTCATGGTAGATTGAACGTGTTCCTGTATCATGTTTAAAATTGCTAAGTATACCATGCAGAAACAGAATACAGAAAGGTAATTATATTTTGTTGTCTTAGTGGCAAGTTTATGGAACTGTACTTTTATTTAGAATTTAGAATCAAAACAATGCAGAATTACATATTTTGAAAAGAAGCCAAAAAAGTAAATAGAAATTAATATGATCCATTATGAAAAACTGGAGAATCAGGACAACAAACTGCTGCTGTTGTTCTCAAAAAAATTATGATTTTCACACTATCTTAAAACCATGTATCTTTAAATACACAAAATTATTATCTTTATAAATTCCACTTTATCATGGAAGAAAAGATAGCAAATAAATGAAAATCAATGTATTTTCACCCACTGATGTGTAGGCTTATTCTGGTTCTTCATCGAAGAATTTATAACACTTACTGAAAAGTAGACCTTAGTAGGGATTTAGAATAAAAAGTAAGGTATATACTTTATTTCAGATGTATACCTTCGATACTAAGATCACTCATTATATAAAACAAAAATAGACATGATGTATAAAAGATTGACACAACCAACTTCATTATCTATAATTTCCACAATTATAGTCATTCAGCACACTGATTCTCACTACTTTAAGAGAAAACACTTCAAAAACAAATTCTGATCTATGTAGCATAACTAAATAACTCAAGAACACAAATACACTACTAGTCATGTAAACACAGATAATAATCATTCCTTTTAAATAATTTTGGAGTTCACTTTTTTCCTTTTTTTCTTATGTTTTTAACACTATTCCAGGCATTACTAGTGAATGACCCACATCAATATTTCCGTCAAAACCACTGAGACAATTTTTATAAAACTAAATGGGTCCTGAATAATAATATTGTTCATTTTATTTTTAAAAGTTCTTATGCTTAGATCCCAACCTTTTCCTATGCAAATATCTTTGATTTAATGAATTTTTATTTTCTCTGCTTTTTATTATTTATTGGCTGTTTCATTTTACCATATATGACTTACTTATTCTAACATATGTCTTCTAATAAAAATCTTAAACATGATTATCCTTTACCTTCACATACAGTAAAGACTTGCTTAAGCCACTCTACTTTTGAAATTCTATAAAAATTTCCTACCTTTTATTTTTGAATTCCTCTAAAATTTCTTTTTCCTACATTTCAATTTAAACTCTATTTCATGTATCTTCTTATGTAAGTGATTTTAAACTCCATTGGATTAAGACTGCATTTATCACATCTCAGAACAGTTATCCAAACATTTAGAAGTATATGCTGCCTAATAAATAAATAAAAATAATTCAGAGACTCCACTGAATCATATGTTTTATAGACTCTTAGCAATGATATAAATGTTAGCAGATGTCCAAGCATCCATTTAAAGTATGATGGGGGGCCGGGGGAAATAGAGCTATCATCCCACTAAGATACATTTAGAACTGAATAGTAGATTCCACTAAATATAGAATATGAAAATTGTGTTATCTAGTTATTGTTGTTATATGGCGTGGAATCAACCATGTCTCACAGTTATCCAATGCACAACATCGCTGTAACCTGCCCTGTCCTGAGACAGTCTCACTGTCTCTGACACACCTACCCCCATTACCCTGGTTACTGTGTCAATCCACCTCATCTGGGGTCTTCTCTTCCTGTGCTGTCCCTCTGCCCTTCCAAAAATGATGTCCTTCTTTAAGAGCTGGTTCTTTTGCTATTTTTCAGTCTGCAAGTTATTCAGTTCTTTGAGCTAGATTGATATAGTGACCACAACAATGGTCTTGAGCTAATGGAGGCCATGTAGATGTTGTAAATAGGACAAGGGACTGATAGGTTGGAAGGTTGCTATGAGTTGCAGTTGACTCAAGGGCACTTAACAAAAAAAGTTCTTCATTTATGCTATACTAGATTTTTAATGTACCTTTCTGACATATTATTCATCCTAGAAAAAAAGGTATTCCAAAAATAATTCCAAAAATGTCACTGAAACACTTTTAATTACTCTGATAAGTTATGATCTAGCTCTAAATTAACAAAAAAAAATATTTTAGTCTTTGATTACCTGCCTGGTGACAACTCAAAACTTTCTCAATCATATGATCTTTTCCCTCCTAGTGTCAAACATCATTTTGGTCTCTCAATTATGTATAATTAACATATTTCAGTTAAGTATGAGACTCCAGTAGCCGCCTTCTTCAATATTTATTGACTTTTATACTCTCCCATTTTCCACCCACTTCCTTCCCTCTATGAGAGCTTCTATAGCTTTTTGTTCAACACCTAATGATGATATCCCATTCCCATTTTTTCATGAAAATAATTTTAACAATTGTCTATAGGTATACTATTTCCTCACCATGAAATCAGAACCTTCAATTATAGGTGAAAGTGGGCTCATACTTTTTTTCAGTTATTCTTTTCAATTCTCCTTGTCCTAGGGAGGTACTGTTCTTAAGACGTTAGAAATGTCTGATAGAATCATTTGCCTGACACCTGGAGTTATTTATTTCAACTAATGGAGTCTCTTAGAGAGAAAAGACCAGAGAGAGTTTAACAAAATATTCCCATGAGTCAGAGGTTTCAACATGCTGCATGTGAGATGCTACAAAGTAAACCAATTAACAGGAAGTCCATGCCACATCTTCTGTTTCCAAATCTATAGAGCACTTACAGTTTCAACTCAAGCCCGAGCTCAGTTGTATCTCTATTATTTTTTACCATAAACATATAAGGAAATATTGTCTAAAAGTAAATGTTTGTGATAAAATAATTTACCTAAGTATTTAGACATGGTTTGTGCTACTAATCCTTACGCCCCACCTCTCTGAGGGTTTTTATTCACCAGTGATTTTGAGAGAGAAAGATGGACAGTCTCTTCACTTCTACTAGCTTTGGACCCCAATAGAGAGTCATCTGTCTCAATTAAATTTTAAAAGTAATGAGTTTGAGTATTTGAGAGGATTTGTCCTTATATAAAATTTTCCAATTACATATAATTAGGGTTAAAATCAGTGAGCTGCTTCAAAAGAGAAAGATGGACATTCTCCAGTGAACTGGGTGGGGTGGGTGGCATGGTAAACCTTGAGTCAGAACCAATTCCGCAGCACGCAACAAACAATTAAATCCTAACCCTTAAACTCTTGGTGAAGGAGCCCTAAAAGCCTAGTGACTAAGGAGTTGCACTGCCAGTCCGAATGCAGGTGGTTTGAATCCACCAGCTGCTCCAAAGAAAAATAAACACCTCACATCTGATTTACAGTTTGTGAAAAAATGACTTGAGGGTTGGGGGTAAATCCTTTTGATTCAAGGACAATGAAATGGTAATGATAATGCTTCCGGTGAGTTCTGATGCTGTGTCTTAGTGTTAAAGAATTCAGCTATTGTATCTTGTAGGGTCACTTGCAAACTTTTAAAACACCAGGGACCATGCAATAAACCAGAAGATAGAACAGAAGTGTTAAACATATTATTATGTTAGTTATTTGTGATTTTTCATGAAACCATGGTCCTAACCACCAATCTAAAGAAAGAAATACAATATTAAGCTGTATTGCCATACATAAGCAGTCTTAAAAACAGTTTTGTTTTTT